TCATTTAATGAGTATCTATTGATCACTTACTGGATTCCAGGGCCTACTTGCAAGCTGAGAACAGAGAAAAACATAATATCTTTTCTTAGAGAATAATATTCTTGGGCGTTGGTGGGAAGGCATTTAAAAAAAAAACCAAGCAAATAAATATATCATATGCCAAGCAGTAGGAAGAGCTAGGGATAAAAATGAATCAGGAACACAAAGAGAACTGTGGGAGAAAGAGCCGATTGTTTTTACATAGGCTGGTCAGGGTGGGTCTCTTTGGAGAGACGACATTTGAACAGAGATACCTTTACCAGAGGGAAGAGCAAGGGAACCCACTTTTCAACATGGAAGGAAGGAACATATAATCCTGAGAGCCAGAAGGGGTGAGACCAGTAAGGAAAGCTCAGATGGGCAACTCCTGGAGAAGCCCAAGGGAAGGATGTCCTGGGGCAGGGCCGCTATGAAGAAACTGGCTGTATCTTACAGGAAGCATGCACTGTGGTACCCTCAGCTAAGCCAGTTCCTCCTGGTCCTCTCCTCACAAGGAACGAGGCTCCTTGGTTAAGCGCATCATGGTGCTGCTTACCTTTAACACACGACGAAGACTCTGTAGACTCCACTTGCTTTTTCTTCTGGTTTCAGACTCTTCCAAGTCATATTTCTCACTGAGAAGATGACTAACCTCTTGGCCATGGCGATGTGAGATTAGAAGCAGGACTGCATGGGGCATGCTCCTGCACTTAGTTTGGCATCTTCTAGTTTTATCTTGTTTGGTTAACATGGTCAGGCTTTTGATTGTCAGGTAGAATATGAACATTCCAGGGAGAAGGGAATGCTTCAATGCTGCCTGGCTATGAGCAGGGAGCAGTGCAAGCAAGGTACCACGACAGGGGTTGCACGTTTCTTGTGTAAATGGGACACTGGCAAGATGTGTGTGAAGGCTGTGTGGTTATTCTATAGCAGTGGTTCTCACCTTTTCTAATGCTGTGGCTCTTTAACACAGTTCCTCACGTTGTGGTGACCCCCCACCATAGCGTTCTTTCTATTGCTATTTCTTAACTGTAATTTTGCTACTGTTATGGATTGTGATGTAAGTATCTGATGTGCAGGAGATCTGATAGGCAACCCCTCCTGGCCCTCAAAGGGGTATCGACCCACAGGTTGAGAACCACTGTTCTGTAGCCTTCCTGACATGCGCTAAGACATGCTAAGGAGAGACTTTAGTGTCTCTCCCTTTAGCCACAAGAAATTGGAATCTCTTCAGGAGTCTCATGTTGGGAGAGGCTTGAATCCTGGTGCCAGGCCTCTAGAGGGTGGCCTCCCCCCCCCCAGAAAGAGATTTCACACAGTTCTGACAGCTTGTCTCAGCAGCTTGCAGGAGCTGAACTGGGACAATGGTGGTGCCTGGGACCATACTTTCACCAGGATGGCTTAGCTCTGTGTACTCCTTGCCTTCTATTTAAGCCTAAAACTCATGTAAAAACTCCCCCAATAGAGCCGGGGGGGGGGTTCCTAGACATTTTTGTTCCTCTTCCCAGCATGGCCACATTGAATGGATCTCCTTTCTCAACTTTTCTGTTTTATTACTATCTGTCTATAATTGGACTGTTGAGAGTGGGTGGCTGAACCTTACTGCTAAGGGTTGCTGGGTCCAGACTCTGTCTGACCTTAACTCTGGCAACTAGCAGACTCTAAATGGAAAGACTACAAAGGTGAAATGTGTATCCTTGGGGGAAGGAGAGAAAAAACAATAAAGGAGAGGCGATATGTAGGATGCCTCTGGTTCCTGTTCATCTAGGCGGTATCAGGCGGGGGTCTTAAGTAGGACCTGCCAGTCATTGATTGGCCACTCCCACAAGATCTGCACCATTACCCTAACATGTCTAGCAGGCAAGACGGATTGGAGTTTGAGGTTTCATGGCTGGGTTGATGTCCCAGTTCCACGACTAGTAGCCTTCTCTGGTTATAGAAGATGGTCATCTGGGCTCCTATCCCCCATTACTAGACTTCACTAGGGTCAACTCTCAGATTCCAGAGGGTTTTCACTGCACTAGGTTTCTACATATCCCCCCCACCCCACTCCAGTCACCACTCCCAGGACTCTCTCCCTCTGTCCCTCTCACCCCCTGATGTGGAGTTGGTGAAAATCTGCTGAACGAGCTTGTTAAACAGGCCTGGTGACCTGAGCTTGGTCTCTAAAACCCATGGTACAAGGGGAGAGCAAACTCTTGACAGTTATCCTCTGACTGTCACCCGCGTGTTGTGGCACACCTTCCCTTGCAGATGTCACCAACACACACACACACACACACACACACACACACACACACACTCTACTAGTGACAGTGATAATAATAAATAGTAGACACTAGAAAGGTTTTCAAGAAAAAAATATTATTTAGTTTCTCAGTTCAAATACAGCCAAATCTTAAACCTACTCAAGGAAATCTCTTGAGCTATAGACATATCAGAAGAGCAGAAATATGCAGATAAAGTCCTTAAAGGTGAGAGGAGAGGGGGCTGTGGTGTGGATAGGGGTGAAAATAGAGTACCCCTGAAACAAAGAGTTGAAAGCTGTTGAAGATGGAGGGAAGGACAAACCAGAAGGTGGAGAGAGGAGGAGTGACCCCACCAGGACAGAGGGGCTGCCTAAACTAAGGACCTAGCCCAGGGGTGTCCCTCAGCACAGATGCTAATGAGCTTCAAATTAGTCATGCTTCCGCTGGACAGGTTTTCATTTCCCAAGCCTTCAGTGAAATTTTCTCCTCACCGAAATGTGTTGATGCGAGGGCGTGCTGGCTAGAAATTAAAGATAGGAACAGTCCATGAAAGAACAGACACGGGACAGATGGGAGTGTGTGGGAACAGGACCCCTGGCCTCCTTCTTCACTTAGAGGCAGAACTAGGGGTCATCATAGTGCCAGAACTGGGCGGGGTCTCCAGGATGCCACCAAGTTCCCTTTCAATCCTGAAAATGGAGATTTTAATCTTTCTTTACCCAGACACAGTGAAATAGGTCAGTCCCACCCAACAGCTGGATTACATATATTTTTTTACAAACTATTATGAATTTTCTTTAGGGTGTTGGTGAGTTAGAACTCCAGAAGCAAGGTTGAAAGCCAGAACTCCAGTGGTCCCCACAAGGAGAAGGAAGAGAAGGGCAACCTTTGAAGTGGCTCTTCCCTTTTAATAGCTGGGAATAAAACTGTATTGTTAGCCAAGAATTGCCCTGTTTGTATCTCAGGAGGATCGTGTACAAAAGTGGGTCTTTGCTAGGCTGACCCAGGAAGTAGAGGGATTCAATGCTATTATTTATTTATTTATTTTTTTTACAGCCCTGAGGGCACATAGGTCACCTTTGAGTGCCCTCAATTTTTCAGCTTTTGAAGCCTTGGAAAACCCCAGCTCTCTACCGACAAAGACTGAGCAGGGGTATGGCTGCTTTTTATAATGTTCACTCTTTGATTTTAATACTGACTAGCCAAAGGCAGTGTGTGTTCAACCGCACCACCCAGTTTCTCTGGGAGATTTCTGATTTTTTGATGATGAACTGAGCTGGTTTCCTCTCTCTTGCCCAGTGTTAAGGCAGGACTGAGTGGTGGTAGTGCACTCCTTCAAACCCGGCACTCAGGAGGCAGAGTCAGGTTGGATCTTTGTGAGTTTAAAGCCAACCTGGTCTACAGAACTAGTTATAGGTCAGTTGGGGCTACACAGAGAAACCCTGTCTCAAATAACTAACTAACTAACTAACTAACTAACTAACTAACTACAACAACAACAAACCAAACCAACCAACCAAACAAATAAACAAAATGCCATCACAGCCATTGGGAAGTTGGGAGGCCGGCAGACCATGGAAACAAGTAAACTCCTGAGAACACTAAGGGATAGAGTACGCCTGGGTTTCAGGTTGTAGGAAATATCACCCTGTTTCAAACGGGGGCTAAAGACCACACTGTTGCTGCCTGGCAAGGAAGTCAGTGACCTCAGATGACTAACACACGTTTGTGATGAGTAATCCAAAGTCAGGCATGTTGTCAAGTATAAGATGTGCCCAAGAAGGCCAAAGGGGAGAAAAAGGCAAAGTATCTTTTCCCATGTCCATTTCTTTTTCTTTCACTAATTTTATGTTGAGACAGACTGTCCTCACACTTGCTCTGTAGCAGAGAAAGGACCTTGAACTATCCATCTGCCCGCTCTGTAATCAGCCTGCCTGTCAAGAATGGGGTTAGACCCTTGGTTCCTCCATTTAATTATCAGACTTGAAACAGTGGACCCCAAGAGATGGGAAGTTCCTCAAAAATCTCTTCCTGGCCAATGGAAAGGATGAGGCCAAAGGGACAACCAAGGGAGCTGGTCTAAAGCCGACCGAGGATGCGCATTGACACTAGGAAAAGCTCGGAAAATGCTCGCAGGTGTGACACCATCCCACAACTTCTGTACCTTGAACTCAGTGTCTGAGACTGGTCTTAGAACGAAGCCTGTGGAGATGCTGAGGAGCTGCCGAGTTGTCACATTGTGAATTAGGATTTCAGCATGTGAATTCTGGGAAAATAGAGTTCAGTTCATGATATACTGGAACCAAATGACTCTCTTTTCTCTTTTTCCTTCATAAGAGCTACAAAATCATTATCATAATAGAGAATGCAGGGTTTGTTCTGAGTATATTTTCTTTTGTTTTTATTTTTTCTTCCCACTGGTTCTCATTCTTTTACAAACAATTCCACTTAAAAAATACTTTACTTTTTTACTTGTGTGTGTATGTGTCTGTCTGTGTAGTGTATGTCTAATGTGTGCAGGTGTCTGAAGTTTCAGAAGAGGATGTGTATCTCCTGGATCTGGATTTATAGGCAGTTTTGAGGTGCCTGAAGTGGGAACCGAACTCTTTTTTTTTTTTTGAATTTAAATGCACTTTATTTTTAGACAACCTACATGACATGTTTTTTCTTTAAAAAAAAAAAAGGAAAAAAGAAAAAAACAATGTCTCCACTCCAGATAAATCATGGTCAAAATAAGAGCTCAAGGTGACATTAGTCCCATTTGTCCTAAGTCCTGGTGTTGTATGGATGGGAAGCAGCAGACGGTTATGGTGACAGGTGATAGATCCAATTTGTTAACATTTCTCCATCTCTAAGCCATCCTTGAAGAAAATCATGTATGGAGTCACGCCATCTTCACGGTAGTCCAGGAGAGCAACCATGCCATCTGGATTCATGTTCTCACCAATAAAAAACTGGTAGTTATTGAAATTAGCAAGGATGTGCTTAATTTGCTCTGCAGCCCCAGTCATAAAAGGCTTTACTCTTTCTGGTTTCTGTTCTTCAAGTTTGCCTTTGAGTGATTTCATATAATCTTTGATGTACTTTTTGTATGCCTCTTTTGTGAAGCTGGTTTCTTGTAAGTGGTGGTTCATGACAATGTCAACACCAGTGACTACTGTGCTTTCGGTACCTTCGCCCTCTGGGCCTTCGTCGGAAGCATTCCCACCAATGAGCGAGTCATCGATGTTACCCTCTGTTCTACTGACCATCTTGCCCTCCACCTCCAGGCATAGCCCGTCCGCGATCTCCCGGATCTTGTAGATGTCGGAGAACAGCTCGTCATGGCTGATGATGTCCCGGTAGATGATCATGGTGGTGTCTGGGGATGGTGGCGCTAGCCTGACAGCGCTGAGCGAGCGCGGTGCAGCCGGAGCGGTGCTGGGGGGAGAGGGGGGAGCGGGCAGAAAAAGCGGGAACCGAACTCTTGACTGAGTGGTAAATACTCTTAACCACTGACTTATCTGTCCAGCCCTCTTACTTATTTCTTTAAAAAAATTTAATTAAATTATAGCTACATCATTCCCTTGCCCTCTTCTATTCTACCCTTCCCACGTCTGGTTCTTCTTCCTCTTCATTGCTGTTATATTAAATATAAATGGATCAACATCTAAACACAACTTGCCGAGTCTACTCAGTGTTGCCTGAATGTATGTTTCTAGGGTTGACCACTTGGTATTGGATAACTAATTATGGGGCTCAACCCTAGACAAGACTAATTCTTTCCCTCCCAGCCATTATTAATTGCTATAGGTCTTCTTCTAGGAGTGGGGCCCTGTGGGATATCTCCCATCTACATTAGGATGTCAACTGTTATTGGAACTGCTCATGTATAGCTCAGGTAGTCATGTTGTTGAGATTTCATGGGTGTAGCTTTCCTATCCTGGCTAGGAAGGCACACTTTCACATCAGACTTTCTGGTCCTCCAGCCCTTATGATTGTCCTACTTCCTCTTCTTCGATGTTGTCTGTGCCTTAGACATAGGGTTTGTGTTGTAGGTAACTCGACTGGGACTGGGCACCATAGTCAGTTATTCTCTGCATTTTTAGTAGTAGCTTCCTGTAATTGTCTCCTTCTGCTACAGAAGGGCTTCCTTGATGAGCGGTGAGAGCTCTACTTACCTGTGAATATAACGTAGGTACTTGGAGTGTGGCTAGAAACTACATTGGCTTAAGAAAGTGGCAGTGTTGGGTCTTCCTCTGTGATCCATGACCTCAGTAGCTGTGTGTAGTTGGCTAGGTTTGTAGTATCAGACATGATTTCCCTCCTATTAATCAGGCTTTGAGTACTATTAGAGAGCTGTTGGTCACTGTGAATATATAAGTGCCACTGTTACACCTTTAGGGATACTCTGAAAGATATGGTTAGAAAGTTTAAGATTACATACATGACTTGCATTAGACTTTCTGTTGTGGTTGTTATTTTTGAGAGAAGATTTCATGTATCCAAGGCTGGCCTTAAACTTGCTATGTAGCTGAGGATAACCTTGGATTTCTGATTCTCCTAATCCTTCTGCCCTTCTCTACCTTCTGAGTACTGGAACTACAGGCATGGACCTGCATGACTGGGTTTATGTGCTACTGGGGCCTTGAACATGCTAGGCAAGCGAGCGTGACAAGCACTCTACTCCCTGAGCCACATCCCAGCCTTGTTGCATGGGATTGCTGTGGGACATCGCCATCTTAGACCTCCCTATGGAAGATCAGGGTCCTTGGTATGTTATGACTGAATTTTCTCATAACTTGAGCACCTGCCACAGACACGCACTCAGTTCTCTTTGTTGGATGTGAATTGAATGAATGGGTTCTGTGAATAGTGGGCAGGTGTGGCAGGGAAGGTTAAGTGCTAATATTTCATAAGATTCCTGATCCTTGTCATGTTTTTTGACCTGAGTGGCATATGGTTGGTCCTGTTCACTTTGAGGTAGAGAAACAGTAACAGTCCTGGCAGCTGGATAAGCTTGGACAGAGGGGAGTCTGGCTGGGGCAGGGGATGTTCACAGCAGGTGGCGACATACCTGCTGACCTTCAAGTCTTCCTTGCTCTCTGTGCCTTCTCTGTCTTTAAGTTTAGAATGGAGAGAAGCAGATCTTGAGGATTTTTGCCAAGTGGGACACAGACCTTAAGACTAGAGGGTTTCTGGAAGTTCCACAAGTACTGTAACTTACAGTCTTCTTCATGAAAGTGGTTTTAAAAGACAGCTAACAAATATTATGAAAGTTAGTTGAGCTGGATTTCTTGATATTATTTGGGACTATGAAACTATGAAAGAAGATGTCCTAGTTTTCTTTGTTTCTGTAACAAAGCACCAACAAATGCAACTTAGTGAGAAAAAGGTTTATCCAGCTTACAATTCTAGCTTTTTAGCTCATCATTGTGGAGAAGTTAAGGCAGGAACTTGAAGCAGCTAGTCACGTCGTATGCACAACCAAGAGCTATTGGTTTAATGAGAGTCTCAGCATTTTAAATCAAAGGCCTTGCTGGATATGGTGGAGCACGCCTTTAATCCCAGCCTTTGGGAGGCAGAGGCAAGTGGATCTCTATGAGTTTCAGGTCAGACAGGTCTACAGAGTGAGACCCTGTCTCAAGAAAACCAAAAATGAAACCAAACCAAACCAAACTGAGACAAAACAAATGCCAGTGAATACAGGCGCATGTATTTTAAATATAAATAAAATTGCATTGACCTTATTTCTTCTCATTCCTTGTTTTTTTTTTGTTTTTTTTTGTTTTTATTTTTAATGGTTGGCTTCCTCTCTTCATTTTCCCCTTGTCCATCTCCTGTTATTCTTCCTTCCTTTCTTTCTGCCTCAGTTAGTTAAATATAGATGAGAACAGAGATTTCAAGATCCTAATTCCTCCAATTTATTGTTGGTCACTTTGTAAATTCTTTTTCACTGTCTTCAACTGAATATTCTTGAGTGTGATGATGAGATATTTTAAAGGTTTTTTTTTTTTTTTTGTGGGGGGACAGGGATGCTGTGCTGGGCATCATACCCAAGGCCTTGCGGACATGAAGTGAGCACTCATTGTGTCCCTGAGATACTTTCTCACCCTCTGTGCAACAGTATTTGATTTTTTCTCACTTCCTCCTCACTACATTTCAGATATGAGAACTATTTTTAAATGTTTTAATTTATTTTATTTATCCTTCTCTCATGCATTATATCCTTACTGCAGCTTCCCCTGCCTCCCCTCCTCCTGGTCTCACACCTTCCAGGATCCACTCCTCCTGGTCTCACACCTTCCAGGATCCACTCCTCTCATTTCCTTTCAGAAAAGAGCTGGCCTTCCAGGGTTAACGATCAAACATAGCATAACAAGTTACAATAAGACTAGGCACAAACCCTCATATCAAGGCTGGACGCGGCAGCCTAGTAGGAGGAAAAGGGTCCCCCAAAATAGGCAGAAGAGTCAGAGACATCCCCTGCTATTAGGAGTCCCACAAGAACACCAAGCTACACAACCATAACATTTATGCAGAGGACCTAGCTCAAACCGGTTCAGGGTCTGTAACTGTCGCTTCAGTCTCTGTGAGCCTCTGCGAGCCCTGCTTAGTTGATTCTGTGGGCTGTGTTCTCATGGTGTCCTCAACCTCTTTGGCTCCGGCAATCCTTCCTCCCCCTCTTTTGTGTGGCTCCCCAAGCTCTGCCTACTGTTTGGCTGTGGGTCTCCTCATCTGCTCCTGTTGCTAGATGAAGCCTCTCTGATGATGCCAGTTGGGCTAGGCTCTGATCTATGCGCACGGCAGAATATCATGAGGAATCATTACATTGACTTTTTCTCTCACTTTCTCTTCCCTAGATATTAGCTACTAGAACCATTTTTTTAAAGTACTTATTTTTATTTTTAATTGTGTGTATGAGTGTGGGTTTGTACACATGCACTTGATACCTCTGGAAGCCAGAAGAGGGCGTTGAATCCTGTGGAGTTGGAGTTATAGGTAGTTGTGAGCTGCTCAATGTAGGTGCTGGAACTAAACTTTGATCTTCTGCGAGAGCAGGATGTGCCCTTGACCACTAAGCCATCTCATTATCCCTGGAAATTCAGAGCTTGAAAAAAAATAGTTTCAAATAAAAATGCTAAACATGAAAAACTCAGTGAATCAAATAATAAATCACACTGGAAAGTGTCACCAATAACCTTAAAACAAGCAGAAGAAAGAACATCGCAGATGGAAGAGGAGGGTGATGAAAAACTGCAAACACCATTAAGGAAAGAAAGAATTAGTGAGCATAATGCCATGTCTAAGAACTCTGGGACAGATTCAGTAGAGCAAACCTGAGAATTAGTGGGACAGGAGGAGGGGTGAGGAAGATATTAAAAGCGGGAGAAATGTCTCCAAACGTAGAGGGAAAACACAAGGCCTTTTGAACCCCAGTAGACATGACCAGGAAAGACATACGATGTATTATAGTCAGGATGTAAAATAACAGGGCACAGAAATGACACTAAAAGCTGTAAGGAAAAATCCCGACTCACAAAAGCAGAAACATCAGACTAGCATCAGATTTCTTGTCAGCAGCCATCCAAACCAGGGAAGCAAGGGATGACATATTTCCAGGTCTGAAAGTAGATAGCTGGCAACCAAGACAGCTATATCGGGCACAGCTATCTTTCAAAACGGATGAAATCGGTGCATTTCAAGATCAGCGCACACTAAGGCACAGCTGACAATAGTTAAAGAAGCTGAGCACAGGAGGGACGAAGGACAGATGACAACACAGGATGGATAATTATGAGAAAAACAGATGACAAAGCCTTGCTAGAAAGGAATCCATGATGCGTAGCTGACTGAAACAGCAAATCCCTGCTACTCTCAGGGGAGAAAGCAGAAACAATAATCAGAAAACAGCCAATAAAATGACAAGAATTATCAAACATCTCTCAATAATAGATTAAATGTTAAAGAATAACCTTACGATGGGCAGTGGTGGTGCACTCCTTCAATCCAAGCCCTCAAGAGGCAGAGGCAGGTGGATCTCTGTGAGTTCAAGGTCCCTGTTCTACAGAGTGAGTTCCAGGACAGCTAGGCCTACACAGAGAAACCCTGTCTCAAAAAACAAAACAAAACAAACAAAAGAATGATCTTAAGCATAAATGGCCTTAACTAACAAATAATGAGATGTGGACTGGCTGACCAGATTAAAAAAAAAAAACCCAGAGCCAACTATCTGTTGTCTTCAAGAAACCTAGCTCAGAAATCAGAGGTATCTGATCACCCTAGAGCTGGAGTTTAAGTCATTGCCCACTGCCTGACATGGGTGCTGGGAACTGAGCTCAGGCCCTCTAGCAAAAAAAGGATGCAAGCTGGC